CTTTGTTTATTTGTTCCTAGTTTTTGTCCATTAGGTAATAATGACATTAATGGAAAATTGGAATATTCAAGCGCTGAGCTGGGTTGGTGCTGTGTTGTGCTGAGCTTGCTGGCTAAAAGTTAAGGAATTTTTTGTTGGTACCAAATTTTTTTTAGCAAATTCTTAAGTATTTTTATTTTTCTATTGGGTTTGTTTAACCTACCTAGGAGTCGGCCTTGGCCTGGCTACTTGGTTAAGTTTTCCATTCTCTGAAAACCCTTCTCAGATACTCTTGTGCATTGCTGCTCAAGAGAACAGAGCAACTCTGTTCATTGGGTGTGTGAAAGTTGGAAAATAAAGTTGAGTTCTTTTTAGAAAAATTCGAAAAGGGCCAAATTACAGATAGTGAAAGATGACGGAACACGTAACAGCAATCTGATCAGGGAGAGTGACGTGCAAGGCCAAGAGAGGAGGACAAGGGCAGGTGTCCAACAGTCACCGCTCTGTTCCCAAAAGGGCTTACCTCTGTTCCTCTTGGCTACTTCTTCTGCTTTACCACCTTTTCTCTTGGCGAATAAGATCGTTTGTTTTTCTTAAATAATTTGCGTTTCGTTGTCTTGGAAAGTATAAAAAGGAAAAAAGAGAAGAAAATATCATCAACTAGGACTCAAAGTCTCAAACTTTTGACGGCGTGATTGCATTTACAGACAGCACGCCACTCACCCATCAAACGCCTATGTTTCAGGTAAACCTTCATCGCCTTTGTTTTTTGTTTGTTTGTTTTCTTTGGGTTGGGTTGCTTACGCGTGCGCTTCTGTTTGAGTTTTGGCTTGTTTTATAAATGATATTTAGCTTTTGATCCAGTGGTCTTATAACACCTTAACCTCAATGACCTATGCTTCTCTCCCTCGTACTGATAGTGGATCATTTTTTTGCCAGGATTGTTGAACTTGGTGATCAAGAACGGGTTCAAATCATTGATCTTTGATCTGGGTTTTTGGTTTTTTTGATTGGATTGGTTAATTACTGGTGAGACTTGCTTAAGAGGGTAGCAATCGATTTTGGGTGTTGAGTGGAAGATGAGGGGAGCTGTGCTTGTGGCTGTTGCTGCTGCTATTGGTAATTTATTGCAAGGATGGGACAACGCTACTATCGCAGGTAAATCTACTCTTTCAACTCGTACTTGGAGAGTATCAATAGCTTTATGTCTGCCTTTTTTCAACATTGAAAGTTGACTCTTTTAGATTGAGAACAACAGTCAACTTAGATGCTTTGAAGATTTGCTTCTTTAGCTTTGTTTCGATTGCTAATCAAAAGTTTACTTCATGCCTAGCCTTGGAATTTACTTCATTGGTAGTCCATGACTCTCTTTTAAGTTAAGAATATGTGATTTTTGCTACCGAATTACATTTTGAAGGACCTTTTCTGTTTTTGCTGCAGCGTCTGTTTTGTACATAAAGAAGGAATTCAAATTAGAAAGTGATCCCGCTGTCGAAGGGCTGATAGTGGCTATGTCACTTATAGGGGCAACTTTGATTACAACATGCTCTGGAGCCATGGCAGACTGGCTAGGCCGCCGTCCTGTGCTTATAATCTCTTCTGTCCTATACTTCCTTAGTGGTATTGTAATGCTGTGGGCTCCCAATGTTTATATCCTTCTCTTGGCAAGGCTTTTAGATGGATTTGGAATTGGTTTGGCACTTACCTTGGTTCCGCTTTATATATCTGAGACAGCACCACCTGAAATAAGGGGATCGTTGAATACCCTTCCCCAGTTCACTGGCTCAGGGGGAATGTTTTTGTCATATTGCATGGTTTTTGGGATGTCGTTAACAAAGTCACCAAGCTGGAGGTTGATGCTTGGGGTTCTTTCTATTCCTTCTCTTGTTTATTTTGCATTGACTGTATTTTTCTTGCCTGAGTCTCCACGATGGCTTGTAAGTAAGGGGCGGATGCTTGAGGCCAAGCACGTTTTACAGAGGCTGCGTGGCAGAGAAGATGTCTCTGGTTAGTCATTTTGTTCTGAATTTATCTATGAATAATTGGTCACTGCTGTGATACAGAAATTGATTTATTTTCTCTTTTATTTGCATGGAATGAAACTTTTTACTCAAGTGGTTTGTGCTTTTTCTCTCTTTCTCACTTTAGACTGCATCATCTGGCGAGGGTAGCCATTTGTTAGTAGGAAAGTATGTATTATTGCTCATGGGTTATTTTTTGGGCTATTTGACCCTCTGGTCATACAGTTTGGCAGACAAAGTTGTAGAAATCAAGACTCCTTTCACTTATAGCCTTATATGGGCAGAAAAGCGTCTCAATACTGTCACTATTTGCTTCACTAAAATAACTGTTTTATTTACAATGTTGCATTGTTTGAATGGTATTGATCCTTCTAAGATCAACAGGTGAGATGGCTTTACTTGTTGAGGGTCTTGGAGTTGCGGGTGAAACATCTTTTGAGGAGTACATAATTGGCCCAGCCGATGACATTGCTGATGACCATGATTTATCTGCTGAGAAGGATAAAATCAAATTATATGGGCCTGAACGAGGTCAATCCTGGGTTGCCAGACCTGTGACTGATCAAAGCACCATTGGACTTGTGTCTCGGCATGCAAGCATGGTAAACCAAAGTGGGCTTGTTGATCCTCTTGTCTCTCTCTTTGGCAGTGTACATGAGAAGCTCCCTGATACAGGAAGCATGCGAAGTATGCTTTTCCCACACTTTGGCAGCATGTTCAGCGTGGGAGGGAATCAGGCTAGACAAGAAGAGTGGGATGAGGAGAGCCTCGCCAGAGAAGGAGACGATTACGCATCTGATGCAGTTGGTGGTGATTCTGATGACAATTTGCACAGTCCATTGATATCACGTCAGACAACGAGCCTTGAAAAGGACCTGGGCCCACCTCCCCATGGGAGCCTTGCTAGCATGAGAAACAACAGTCTCATTGGTGGAGAAGGAGCTGGTAGCACCGGGATTGGTGGCGGTTGGCAGCTGGCATGGAAATGGTCTGAGAGAGAAGGCCAGGATGGACTTAAGGAAGGAGGATTCAAAAGAATTTATTTGCACCAGGAGGGTGTCCCTGCATCTCGTCGTGGATCTATTGTTTCGGTTCCTGGTGGTGATGCACCGACAGATGGTGAGTTCATCCAGGCGGCTGCTTTGGTGAGTCAACCTGCGCTTTATTCCAAAGAGCTTAGGAATCAGCATCCAGTTGGACCAGCAATGATTCACCCATCTGCAGCTATTGCAAAAGGGCCAACTTGGAGTGATCTTTTCGAACCAGGAGTCAAGCATGCTTTGGTTGTTGGGGTTGGAATGCAGATACTTCAGCAGGTAATAATTAACATTTACTGAAAAACCTCTAGAGTTGTGGTTGTGACCTATTTTACTTGGCCGGTCATGTTTGCACCTTTTATATCTTTTGAAAAAAAATGCAGTTCTCTGGTATAAGCGGGGTTCTCTACTACACTCCACAAATTCTCGAGCAGGCAGGTGTTGGAGTGCTTCTTTCAAACTTGGGCATTAGTTCAGCTTCTGCATCTCTGCTTATCAGTGCAGTAACAACCTTGTTGATGCTTCCTAGTATAGCTGTTGCCATGAGGCTCATGGATATCTCTGGCAGAAGGTAAATTATTATTGTTTTTCTGGTTCTTGGCTGAATGGACACGTTGTTTGAATTAACATGGCCCTGACAAGTTTTGGGGCTCTTTCTTTTTAACATTTATTAACTTCATATGAATATCTTGTAGAAAAAATTCCCGCAGAATAAGATGTCAATCATCATTCAGAATGCTTTTAAGTTAATATTAACTTTATGTATCACAATACAGGAGTTTGCTGCTCACCACAATCCCGGTCTTGATAGCATCTCTTGTCATCCTTGTCCTTGGAAGTCTTGTGAATATGGGCAGCGTTGTGAATGCATCAGTTTCGACTGTTGGTGTTGTGCTCTACTTCTGTTTCTTTGTTATGGGGTTTGGGCCAATCCCCAACATACTCTGTGCAGAAATCTTCCCCACCAGAGTTCGAGGCCTCTGCATTGCCATATGTGCCCTCACGTTTTGGATTGGTGACATCATTGTCACCTACTCACTTCCTGTGATGCTCAAATCTGTTGGTCTTGGTGGTGTTTTTGGCATGTACGCGGTGGTGTGCGTCATAGCTTTTATTTTTGTTTTCTTGAAAGTTCCGGAGACCAAAGGCATGCCCCTTGAAGTGATTATCGAGTTCTTCTCCGTTGGTGCAAAGCAGGCTGCAGCTGCCAAGAAAAATTGACTTGGTCCTTGGTGGACTAAAAATTTTGATGGCTGTTTTATCGTCCTGGTTTTGCTTCAAATTTACTTTTTCTTTACTTTGTAATTGGTACAATCGATCCCCGTAGAAAGGCTCATGTATAATTATCCCTCATTTGTTATACCTGATATAAATAACTTCAAGAGCTTTTGTGTACAATGTGTTCGGAGTGAAATTTGTGGGATTACTTCATAGCAAAGGGCTTGTTTTACTCAATCCCAATTTCGACATGAAATTTTAAGCATGTCCAGTGATGATTCTTATCTTCTTATTCTCGTTGTGAACAGTTCCTAATCTGACAGTGGCAGGAACAATCTCAATCTCAGAGAAAAAGTAAATTAAAAAATGGGATACACACGAAGAAGGCGGTTAAATTTCCTGCAAACAAATGGGGTAAAAGATTGTTTGCTAGTTTGATCCCGCATATCTCCACTTCTGTATTCAACCCACCTTCTGAATGAGTTCAAATCCTTTGTTTTTGTATTTTATGTCCTGATGCTGACAAGTGAATCTTAAACGCACAAAGGAAATGAGGAACCAAGTACAAAAGTTTTCAACTGAAGATCATGTTCAGTGGCTGACCATTTTGATGTAAGATTAGCAAATTAACAGAACCAGATACAGTTCCCACATTTTTTCTGTGGTAAAAATGAAACTTGCATAGAAAATGTTGTAGCCCTTCTTTAGAGCTCCAAACTCCAAATCTATGAGTTCAAAATCAACTTCATTTTGGGCACCTCTCTTCTATAATAGCCACGGTGCCACGACAGGACGGGCATGAAGAATGGCACTTCAGCCACCTGTCAACACAGCTCACATGATATCCATGACCACAATAAGGCAACACCCTGATTATATCTCCGTCCACAAACTCCATCAAGCAGATTGCACATTCTGTGAATCTTGCATCACCTGCTGCATTATATGAGACTCTTGGAAGGGCCCGGAGATCCCTTTCGTGCAGGCCTTGGTTAGGCAGAGGGCCAGGAGGCTGAGGTGAGGAAAGCCTAGCTCTGGCCATGGGACGGCACAACCGTGATGCAAGCCATAATATTGGCCGAATGATCATGACAATGACAAAGGCTCCTAGGACGCTTAACAATGGAACAAAAATGACGATAGTGGGAGTTTTGCCAATGCAAAACACAAACTGGAGAGCCATACCGTTAAGAGAATGATCAAAGTGAGGATTTAACAAAGAAAAAGGACCCCATTTATCAGAATTTGGTAAACAATGTACTAACCATCATTGAGCATTTAAGGACCAACCACCACTTATAAGTTATAACCACCAGAGAGCTCAAATCGTAGCTTCACCAACCGTGAGTTCACACATCAAACATCCAATTAAAGTTTGACAACTTTAGAGCATTTCTTAAGAATCTGCAGCAAAGATTGACACGAGCCAACTGCATTTACAATGTGGGACAGTAAAAATTTGGTGCTCAATCAAAACACATTCATTACACATTTTCAATTTTTCTTTTGTTTGTGAATACAAATGCCACGGAAACAGAAACACCTCCTTGCATTGTTTACAAAACCAGAAAGATCACTAACTTCTGCTTTCAGATTTCCAGAAAGCTCTTGTTATTCACAGAAGCAACAAACACAGAAGCAAATTTCAAGGTTCAATTGATCTCAAAGGTAAAAGATCTAATACAACAGGAAATAGTGTAGAAAGTTGAATTGAAAATAACTTTCTATGTAAGAGTTGATTACAAAAACTTAAAATTCAAGCAGCAGCAGCAGCATTTTCAACTAGGAGCCATTAAAGAAGAAGACATTGGAAGTTTAGAAAAAGTTAAAAAGGCTGTGACAAAACGCATTCATTACACATTTTCAATCTTGTTGTGAATACAAAATGCCACAAGAACACAAACACTCTTCTTTCTTGCATTGTTTACAACACCCATCTAAATTCTCAACCAACCCAAAATGAAAAAATCAAAACTTTCATCTGGGAATGGTACTAACAAGCCTGGCACCAACCCGGTCGAGCCTACTCACACTCGCCGCCGCCTTCAACTTCCCCTCCTTCAAAAACGCCGCCACCATTCTCTCCCCAATCGCTTTCCCTCTCTCCAGATCATCTGTTACCGCCACCGCGGTGGGCCCCGCCCCGCTTATCGTACACCCGAAAGCCCCAGCCTCAATAGCCGCCTTCTTCACGGCGTCCATGCCGGGAATCAGCGGGGCCCGCCGTGGCTCGACGATCTTATCACTTGACAAGGCCCTTCCCAGCCCCGGCAAGTCCCCTTGAAGCACCGCCGCCACCAGCGCCCCGGCCTGGCTCGAATTCCAGACGTGGTGGGCCATCCCCACCTCCGCCGGAAGCGCCGCCCTCATCTTCTTCGTCGGAGCTTCAAACTCTGGCGTCGCCAACACAAAGAACAGCTCTTTACCGTCCGGAAAGATCAGCGGAATCAAATCCAACGGGTCGTAGCTTCGAATCAACACAAACCCTCCCATAATCGCCGGAGCGATATTATCGGCGTGGTAACCAGAGACCTTCTCCTCCGATTTCAGGCCCGCGATCACAAGCTCATCGATCCCCAATTTTCCACCGAAAATCTCGTTGACTGCAACGGCGGCGGCAGCTGCGCTCGCCGCACTGGAACCGAGCCCGGACCCCAAAGGCAGTCCCTTTTCCAGAGTGAGAGAGAGGCCGACCGAGCGGACTCCGAGCATCTTCATCACTTCAATGGCTGCGATTCCCGCGCAGTTCCAGAGTGGGTTTTTGCTGAGCTTCTTCGAGTTGTGGTCGCCCGAGATCTCAGAGATGGAGATCTCGCCCGGCGAGACCTGCGGGTCGAGGGTAAGGGAGACAAAGTCGCCGAGGCCGTCGACGGCGCAGCCCAAGAAGTCAAAGCCCGGGCCGAGATTGGCCACCGTGGCCGGCGCGAAGGCCTTGACGGAGGTGTAGACGGGTTCGGGTTCGGTGGAGGTGAGGGAGGGTCTGGAGGGGAGGGAGAGGTTACATCTGAGAAGGGGTTTGGGCTTCAACGATGAAGATGATGATGGGATTGTAGTGAAGAGTTTGAACGGAGATTGGTGGCAGATCGCCATTGTTGTCGCAGAGTGAGCAGCTGAGTCAGGTGGGGTTTTTGGCTGTCGAAGTAAATGGGTGAGCTTGGAAAGGACGGATTTTGAAGAATTTTATGGGCTGGGCCGGAATTTTCAATTTTTCATTGTTTTTTTTTTCCTGCTCTTGGAATGGGCTGGTGTTTTCTCAAATGATGGTTCTGCTAAATTTTTATTTATTTATACAAGCGGTATTTAAAAAAGAGGAATAAAATTTAGACCTCAGTTGCATGGTAAATGCTTTTTAAGTTTTAACAACTTGGACTATATGCTCCTTGCAATTTTTGGAAATGGTGAACAGATTTGACAAGCATATTTGATAATCCAACCGTTTTCTATTAATAATTAACACAAAAGAGTGAGAGAACATGATATGGTATGATTAATTAACTTATTATCATTAGAAAGGTGGCTTGATGATGTTTAACGAGTTAGCCAAGTGTCATTGTCAGCATTGTTGTGTATCTCGAGAGTTGTTGATTTGTATTCTCTTGGATATATTCCTCGAGTCATTTTCACAATTCTCCTTCCCATTTGATACCATCATCTCCTTGCGTTTTCTTTTTGTCTTGTTATTGTTCTTTGATTCGTCTGCCTTTTCGTCGATGAAGGACAGGAACGTGTGGAGGCGCGCAGAGCCGGAGGTTCTCCTGCTATGGCTGGAAGGCTCAGTTTGATCTTCAGCTTCGGGGGAATGCCGGCTGAACTGGCGTAGTGCCAACAGAAAGTGAATGAAGAAAGCAATAAGGCATGCAATGCCACAGATAAGGAAAAGTCCCCAGAAACTTTGTAGTTGAAGCTGGTCTGATATGAGGTCAGAGGTCTGTGCACAGGTTTTTCTTGACAACCATTTGTCATGAATTTTCTGAAGATCGCCGTTCTCTGACAGTGTGAGAATGGCGTTTGACATATCAACGGTTAGAGGAGAGTCTCTTGGAAATGCCTGCAAAAACCCGTGTAGCAGAAACACTCAGACATCACACGTCTATCAGTTATTTGTAGCATAAGGAATTATGTTTTGTTTCACTTGATCAGTTACTCGAAATCTGATAACGTAACATAACATATCAGACTGTCTTAACAAAAGAATGATTAGATTGAGCATGTTTTGGGAGAATGGTCAACCAAATATGTGTTTCATTGACACTAAACCGGAAAATGTTCATGTTGACAACATATAGTGAAGAAAATTTTGGAAAAGTTAAAGAAAACTATGTTGAAATACTCACAAATCCCCACCCGCTTTTGGTGAACTCCTGCCCCCTAATTGAGAACATGCAGTTTTCTGAGAGGAAGAGTTCTATATATGCTTTTTCATCAACCACAGCAGCAACAGTTCTTTTCTTAAGGGCGTCTGCATATGCTTCTGGTGAGCCAAGAGGAACTAGCCTAGATCTTGGGATGTTGAGCTCCTCAACCAAATAGTTTTGAGCAAAAGACCCTATTTGGTATCCTATATGTTCGGTGCTCGTTACCAAGGTATCAATTCCAGTAATGGGGGATTCTAGTTGTTGTACTGTGAGCATTGATGTCAGGCTAGCTGTATAACTTGAGTTGATTATTAGGACTATAAAAAGCCAGATGATCAGCACCATCCGACCTAGTGTGCTCACCGTATTTTCTCCTGAAAGTTCAAAGATGGATCTTTTAAACACACTTTCAAGTTCTTGGTATAAGAACACAACATGTAGTACCAAAATTGAACTTACTATGAGCAAAAAACATGGTAGAGAAGCTAAACCTGAAAAACAACAGAATGAAGGCAGATGAGAACAAGTTGTATAAGTTTATTTGCATTCAAATTCAATAGAAGTTCAACTTTCATGAGCTGCAGCTTTTGTGCCACCACGAATCATAGCCTACAAATTAGTAAGTATATGCAAAAGCTGGGTCAGAATGTTCAATGTACAAAGTACATACCATAAGATTGTAACAATCTGTTTCCTAGGAGGGCCCCTGAACTCATCATTTATTCTATGTTCCAAAATCCACATGACAAATCCAATGATCAGGAAGAAAGCTGCTGTGACAGCCCACATCAGTGGACTAAATGGCTTTAAGAATGCCCAAGCTCTCGAATTTAACCTCCTAACTGGAGCCACCACAACTAGCCCTGACTCTATATATGGCTGAGTGAAATCCACAATCTTTGTCCGGTTGGTGACGATGGCAATGTCACCTACAGCAGCATCAAACTTCTACAAAACAAAGTCTTAAATCAGATAGAAGTTTTATGGGTCACCATTTTATTTTTCTGTGAGAATATAAGTCAGTATCTTGTAATTGTTAAATTTTACTTACTCCTGATGCAATCATGTTTACAAACTCGTAGTAGCTCGGGTTCTTGAGACCATCACCAAACAGAACAAACTCATATGGAACTGCATATGGAAGCAACTTTATAGCTGCAAGGAATATATCAATGCAGTATCCTTCAACTATATCAGTACCATTTCTTCGTGATACAAAGTCTCGATAGCTAACTCGATTAGGTACTCCAATTCTTAATTGCTTTCCATTGTTTGGAAAAACCCACCCACGAGGCTTGACAGTTGTCCCTCCAGGCCATACAACAGTGGGTAAGTGTTGGTTCAAAGAAGACCAGTTTGATGATGTCTCAGGGGGCACAACAGATATCCCGGAATAGTTAGACCAGTATCCAATTCTTTGATATCCATTTTCAATTATGTTAATGAGATCATATGCAGGATTCAGTGGAGATCTATCTGGATGAAATGCTATAGGACCAGTCAGGCCGGTCGTATTGGTTTGCAATATGTTGTCCAGCAACTGCTTCCCACCATGAAAAATGCTCAATGCACCAAGGTTCACAGTCCCTCCTCCCTTAGGACCACCTAGACTAGTGATGTTGGAAAAGGAAATGGTGCCCCCTTGATCCAAAAGCAAATTTATAGCATGAGCAAGCATCCAGACAGTGTCATAGGCATATAGACCATAAGGGTTCAACCCAATAGAGCCATTACTCAACTTGTTCCACCTTGATATAAAAGCCCTTTTTCTTTCTGAGTCTGGTGTGTGTGGTCTAAGAGTGAGAGCACCTTGGATAGAGTTGGCAGTCTTTGAAGAAAGAGGTGAAGTTGAATCTAAAACAGTGGATAGCCAAGCAGTAGCTATCCATACATATCCACTCTCCATCATCCCAAGTTCCTGGGCGACATCAAAAACTACGAGACCTGATTTGGCGAATGTGTGTAGAACAATCACTCGAGACTCCATCATTTGAATCATTACCAACTGATTTTTAACATCATCTCTAGTTGCTTTTGGGTCAGGTGGCAGTGCTGCCTTGTAACAAATCTTGTGGCGTTTTTCTGCAAGTTTATCACCTAATGCAGCAACACCATTTCGACCGCTGTCATCATCAGTGAAAATTGCAGCCACCTCTGTCCAACCGAAATAACTAACCATGTCTGCAATAGCAGCCATCTGGAACAGATCATTGGGTGCAGTTTGAACAAAGTAAGGGTACTGCAGACTTGATAAGGTGGGGTCCAGCGCTGTGAATGACAATAGAGGGACATGAAGTTCATTTGCAAGATGTGAGAGTGTATGAGCCATCACAGCAGTTTGTGGACCAATTATAGCTACTGTATCAGACTCCATGAACTTCAATGCTGTGATCAACAAAGAAATAAGCATTATAAATACAAAGTACTTGAGACAGCCCAATTAGTTAAAACAGCAGGCATACAGAAGATTTAAAAAATAATAATAATTACCTCCAATGATGCCAAGAAATCCACTAAAGTTTGAATCATGAAAAGTTATAGATAATTTAGTTCCACCTAGAATGGTTGGATCAGAGTTCACATCATTCACAGCAGCCTCAATGGCAATCTTTGAGACTCTTCCATTGATGGTGCCTACTGTGCACATAGCTCCAACGTTCACGGCAGCAGGTCTTGAGGCCCCTTCTGTGGAGCCTGGTATGCAGATAATGAGTATTGAAACGACCCAAACTAGATTCATTGTGATACTATTCTAAGCACCTCCCCAAGTTTCTTATATTCAAAGAAAATGAATGAATGGAACCACCAAATTCAACTTCAAAGTCATCACTTTCTATGTCAAAGTGAACTACAAGAAACTTAAAACTCAAGCAGTAGCATTTTCAACTAGGAGCAAAACAGCACCACCCCATCATTCAGAAAGCATAAAGAAGGAGAAATACCAACTGGAAGTTTAGACAAACAGAACCAAACGCAATAAATAATCAAAATTATGAGCTGTGCTACTTGAAACCCAAAAGCAACAGACAGACAATAGGGCAAACCAAAAGCACAAATCTGTCTCACTAAAGTAACATCTTGGACATATAAGGAATGCCCACGAAGCTCATCTCATGAAAAAAGTGAAAACTCAGGTGGTTTCAGTGTGTCTCAAGGAATCCACACTCACCTCAAAGTTAAAGTAAGGGGGGTGGGGGTAGACAAGGAAGAGGAACCAGAGGCAGAGCTTAGAGTTTGGGGTACACAACCACCTATTCTGAAAAGCAAGGAAGATAGATTAATGAATTGAAATAGCAAGTGACATACAAAGACAGAAAAGGAAATATAAATTAAATATAAAGAAAAATGAACACTCACTAAAGTAAAGCTAGAGAGTCAAAACTCACAAGAAAGGAGGAGGCCAATTGGAGCAGAGGGAAAGATAGTTCCATTATTTAATTCTTGTGATGAGAATACTTCAAACTGGGGAAAGAGAGCAACTTGGGCAAATGGTTTTCCACTTGATCTTTGTGGAGTTGTACTGAGTTTGCTTGTTTTTTGTATCAGTCACTCTTCAGAACAATGGCTGAATTGTTTAAATATAGTGGGAGACAGGGATGGTGATGTTGGGTGAAGGCAAGAAGAATGTAGTTTAAGGGATGACAATTATTATTATTATTATTTTTAATGGGGCCTTTTGTAATGTTATTATTCTTTGGTTTGAATCATAGATATGGTGATGGACAATTAGTGTAAGTTTGGTATTTGTACCATTGGATAAATTGTTATACCATGGCAGGGTGAAAGGAATATTATAACATGCTGTCTCTGAGTTGCTTTGATAAAAGTGGTCTGAAATTGGATTGAAGGTTTACACCTTACATGGCCTATTTACTAAAATAGGTCTATAGTTAGTGGTGCTTTTGTCAGATCAGTAGAAGCTTCCCTACTTTTGCTTAGATTTTTTGAAGTTACCAAACAGCATGGCTACCATGAGAGAATCAATAACAATCATAGATTCACAATATGTTTGATTTCTTTGTGATCAAACATATTGATTACATAAAACTGCATCTGCAATGTTAGTCACATCTAATTTTCTTTTCTAACATAAAATCAATGGCCCAATTTTTATTTTTATTTTTTAAAATTATGAATCATCTGTGCTTAGGTGTTTATTCAATCAATCTAGTGAACAACCAATGTTTTCAAGGGTGTTTCAATTCTATGTTTGCAAATTCTTTCCTGATGTGCCACTGACACTTTCATGGTTTGAATTATACAACCAAAATGGTCTATTTCTAAAAGGAAGTTTCTTATGGCACCTTAGCATAAATTCTGCTTGATTCACAGAAGGATGCTTGAAAATATGTCCAGTTTGCATAGACCCTGCTCCAATGGTAATCTTGATATTTAGCTAGTGTTATGTTAAGACAAACCAGCCAAGAAATGACTGAATGAATCATGGGCCTCAATAAATCACCACAATTATGTTTTGAAAGTGGAAGAGAATGAGCCAGTGAGCTTCAAGCTTTCATGCTAACAAAATATAAGCCTTCCAGATGCACTGAAGCGGAAAACTTGAATTTTTATATGTTCAACTCATTTACATTTCACAGGAATGCCGACCTTTACATATCCAATTCAGAAATCATTTTTTTTTTTAAAACCCTGATGATATCTGCTGTTAACAAGCCTACCTCCGGATTCAAAAGATCCTCTCCCCAGTTGAGAAGAGTAAAAACCCAAGTGAGCTGAAAATGCAGAGCACCCCTGGTATCATGAACACTGATCTCCAGCTTTCCAGATTCGAAAGATCCGAATGAGCAAACTTAGCAGCTTCTAGAAGCTTCCCAGTGAGGTCAACCCCAATTATGCCAGCCAAAGTACCAGCTGTATTAGACACTCCCATCACAATTCCTGCATACTTGGGAGCAATATCCATGTGATTTACTGCAAACCCAGCTCTCCCTAGTGCCAAGAAACCAAGGGCCAGGGAAGAACAAATCACAGCCCCAAGGGAAGTTCTGAAAATGGGCAGTGCCATCAACGCAAGAGAAGCAACTATGAACCCTGAAGTGTTCAAAAGCTTCCTGGTTGCAGTCACCGACAAGAGCCTCTTTGTGATCAAGTGATCAGCAATCACTCCACCAATGTTTGAGAATATGAACATGTTAAGATAAGGCACCATCTTGTAACTCCCCATGTCCTGAAGACTAAGCTGGAGGCCTTGTTCAAAGTATGTTGGGAGCCAATTCATCATCACGTACAAAGCATAATGGAAAGTGAAATTATTCACTACAATAGCCCAAATTGGTAAGCTCCCAAAAATACTCTTCCATGGGATATTTTCTGTTCTATTAGAATTTTGTCCGTCCCGATCCTCCGCTTTGATCTTTTCATGACCTCCTTTGATTAGCAACAACACTTCTCCAAACCCAGTACCTGTTGTAGCTTTTGGAAGCTCAGATTGAGGTGGGTTGCTAGCATAGTTTAACCAAACCACAGACCATATAGTACCTAAAGTTGCTTCAGCCAAAAATACAAATTGGGGGCTTCTCAACTTCACAAGGCTTGGAACCACAAGCATTCCTGCAGCTGCACCAAGGTACATTCCAGAAGTTGTAAGAGAAACAGATCTAGACCTCTCATGTGGAGGCACCCATTGAGCAAGAACAGAGTGGATTGAAGGGAACATGAAGCCTTGTGCCACACCAACAAGCAACCGAGCCAAAACCATCATTGTGACGCGATTCGGGTCTAACGGGACAAAGGCATAAGTCAGAGACCATGTCACAAATGAGAGGAGAAGAACACACCTTCCTCCTACTCTCTGAGCTGCCCAGCCTCCAGGGACTTGTGAACAGGCATAGCCATAATAGAATGTAGAGAGTATAGTGCCTTTGCTTGATTGGCTCACACCAGCAGCATCAGCTGCTGCTGTGTATGCAATTGAGAACCCCACTCTTTCCACATAGCAAATGCATGTGCTAATGAAAGTTAGAGTGACAATCAAATAACGCTTTGGAAATTTTGTCCACATAATTCACTGGTATTCTGAGCAAGTGGTACAAAGAAAATTTTTCCTTTTCTAAGAAGTGCTTTTAGAAGAAGAACATGGAGGCAAGCTCATGCCTTTGGAAAATCTGTGTATATGGGTGGTCAGTTCATGTCAACATGCATGAAAATATGTGTTTATTATTGGGTCCATTACCTATCTAAATCTCCATTATTAAAAACAAAAACAATAACAAAAACATGTCATGAAAATGGCTTCTAATTTAATATATTTGGCTCATTGATGTTAATATCAATTATGAAAGGAAAGCTCATCTCTTTAATATTTTTATTTTTGTCTTTGAATGGAAACATTATAATCTAAATCCTAAAAAACAAAATAATTACAGAAATTATGGTATCTCATATTCCTAACATCGAAAGATTTTGCAAACCTCCAATTCCAGTTGCTATAAATTTTGTTTTGGGTGGATTTTAGTTGTTACAAGTTGGAAAACATGAACGGGATCGCCGTTGTCAACTACCAGTTTCCAAGAACGTAGTTTGGGAGACAGTGTGAAGGGCAGCAAGAATGTAGCATGAAGAAGGATGAAAATTTATTATTATTATTATTATTTTAATGGGCCCTTTTGTAATGTTATTGAATCAGTACAAATAACTGGACCTGCCATCCATCAAACACATAAGGCCATATCCAACAGTGGATTTAGCCCTTTCACATTCAAAGCCCATCTTCAATAAGTGGACTAAATGCATCACGTCAGCGAGCCCAACCCAGCACTTGTGTTATGAGATCATGATCTCACATGGCCATGAATCATGATCAGCTTCTCGAAAGGAGTTATTTGGTGTGTGGGTGTACGCTAGTGTTGTTTACTTGTTTGTGTTGGCACTGACATCTTTGCAATGTGAATTGGTAAATTGAACACCTGTTTCAGACATATCGGTTCCCTATTGAATTTTGAGCAAATTAGATATAGCTCTATTTCCATTTCATCATCATGGAGTTCAAACATAGCTTAAGGCTAAGAACTATAACTTTTATAGTCATTTATTTATTCCCTTGATCTCAGTAACATGCATATGTTCTTTGTATACACTGTATCTCTAGAAATGGTGACTGTCAGAAGTTTGTAGGTTTCGTATCAGTTATCAATGTACAAATATATCTCATACAGTCTCATACCTAAATTTTGATTATTATAATTTTCATAGTTTGATTATTAAGTTTTCCGTTAAACGATGACGTGATATTCATAGAATTCACACATTTCTACATGAATTTTTTTTCCGTCTCAATCTCATATAGGGACGGACCTATGCACATGCTAATTTGGGTTATAGCCAGAGATGACTGAATGAATCATGGGCCTCAATAAATCATCACAATTATGTTTTAGAAGTGGAAAAGAATGAGCCAATGAGCTTCAAGCTATTCATGCTAACAAATATAAGCCTTCCAAATTCACTGAAGCTGAAAACTTGAATTTTTATATGATCAATTCATTTAGATATAACAGGAATGCAGTACATATCCAATTCATAAATCATTAAAAAAAAAAAAGGCTGATGATATCTGTTCTTAACAAGCCTACCTCAGTGAAAAATCCTCTCCCCAGTTGAGAAGAGTAAAAACCCAAGTGAGCTCAAAATGCAAAGCATCCCTGGTATCATGAATACTGATCTCCAACTTTCCGGATTCGAAAGATCCGAATGAGCAAACTTAGCAGCTTCAAGAAGCTTCCCAGTGAGATCACCCCAATTATGCCAGCCAATGTACCAGCTGTATTAGACACTCCCATCACAATTCCTGCATACTTGGGAGCAATATCCATGTGATTCACAGCAAACCCAGCTCTCCCTAGTGCCAAGAAACCAAGGGCCACATAAGAACAAATCACAGCCCCAAGGGAAGTTCTGGAAAATGGGCAGTGTCATCAATGCAAGAGAAGCAACTATGAACCCTGAAGTGTTCAAAAGCTTCCTGGTTGCAGTCACAGACAAGAGCCTCTTTGTGATCAAGTGATCAGCAGTCACTCCACCAATGTTTGAGAATATGAACATTTTAAGATAATAAGGCACCGTCTTGTAACTCCCCATGTCCTGAAGACTAAGCTGGAGGCCTTGTTCAAAGTATGTTGGGGGCCAATTCATCATCACATGCAAAGCATAATGGAAAGTGAAATTATTCACTACAATAGCCCAAATTGGTAAGCTCCCAAAAATACTCTTCCATGGGATATTTTCTGTTCTATTAGAATTTCGTTCGTCCCGATCCTCCACTTCTATCTTTTCATGACCCCCTTTGATTAGCAACAACACTTCTCCAAACCCAGTTATAGCTTTTGGAAGCTCAGATTGAGCCAAACCACAGACCACATAGTACCTAAAGTTGCTTCAGCCAAAAATACAAATTGGGGGCTACTCAACTTCACAAGGCTTGGAACCATAAGCATTCCTGTAGCTGCACCAAGGTACATTCCAGAAGAAACAGATCTACCTCTCATGTGGAGGCACCCATTGAGCAAGAACAGAGTGGATTGAAGGGAACATGAAGCCTTGTGCCACACCAAGAAGCAACCGAGCCAAAACCATCATCCTGACGTGATTGGGGTCTAACGGGACAAAGGCATAAATTAGAGACCATGTCACAAATGAGAGGAGAAGAACACACCTCCCTCCTATTCTCTGAGCTGCCCAGCCTCCAGGGACTTGTGAACAGGCATAGCCATAATAGTGCCTTTGCTTGATTGGCTCACACCAGCAGCGTCAGCTGCTGCTGTGTAAGCATTTGAGAATCCCACTCTTTCTACATTGCAAATGCATGTGCTGATGAAAGTTAGAGTTACAATCAAATAACGCTTGGGAGATCTTGTCCACATAATTCACTGGTATTCTGAGCAAGTGGCACAGTGAAAATTTTCCTTTATTAAGAAGTGCTTTTAGAAGAAGAATATAGCAGGAAGTTCATGCCTTTGGAAATCTGTGTATATGGGTGGTCAGTTCATGTCAACAGGCATGAAAAGACAACTACAAGTTATAAATGAGAATCAAAACCCATGTTTTACTACCGAAAGGAAGCTGAAAATGCATGGAGCCTTAACCATATTATGGGCACAATTGGTGAAATTTGAGTGACATGACATAGCTTACTCTGTTTGCTCAAATAACCAATCAATTGATAATTTTTTTTTTGGGGTAAGAAAATTACCCATAATTTATATAACAAATCCCAAAAAGGTCATCCATTTTTAATAACAATCTGACCACATAGTGGCATCTGAGGATAGGGAGATTTATTAGTTGCATGAAAAGACAACTACAAGTTATAAATGAGAATCAAAACCCATGTTTTACTACCGAAAGGAAGCTGAAAATGCATGGAGCCTTAACTATATTATGGGCACAATTGGTGAAATTTGAGTGACATGACATAGCTTACTCTGTTTGCTCAAATAACCAATCAATTGATAATTTTTTTTTTGGGGTAAGAAAATTACCCATAATTTATATAACAAATCCCAAAAAGGTCATCCATTTTTAATAACAATCTGACCACATAGTGGCATCTGAGGATAGGGAGATTTATTAGTGACTTTTTTGGTCAGCTTCAAGATGTGTGTTTATTATTGGGTCCGTTATCTGTCTAAATCTCCATCATTAAAAACAAAAACAAAAACATGTCATGAAAATGTCTTCTAATTTAATTTAGTTGGCTCTTTGATGTGAATACCAATTGTGAAAGCTCACCTCTTTAATATTTTTATTTATGTCTTTGAATGGAAACATTATAATCTAAATCCTAAAAAACAAAATAATTACAGAAATTATGGTATCTCATATATACAATTTTTTTTTTTTCAAAAAAAAGTTCTCTGGTCTGATACTCATTTTCCTAACATTGAAAGATTTTGCAAACCTCAATTTTCAGTTGTTATAAATAAATAAAAATTTGGGTGGATTTTAGTTGTTACAAGTTGGAAAACATGAATGGGATCGCCGTTGTCAACGACCGTCAACTACCAGTTCCCAAGTTTGGTGAAAACCGTCAGTCATCATCCGGCCGTCAATTATCAACTGTTGCAATCCAACGGCAGACACGACAGCCCAGCCGCAATTGTTGAACCTCAACACCTGAAACTACAATCCCCTCCTCTCCGATTCTCCGGTAACAACCCAAATATCAAACATCCTACGCGCCACGTGCCAGATGCCCAGCTGTCCGTATTTACAAGTCCACCGGGACGACCCGCTATGACCGGTTGACAAAACCCACGTGCCAGTTACCCTCTGTTTTCTTCATCGATCAAACTCTTTCTACATCTTTATTCAACGAATCAACATCAATCCTACACATATCAACCCAAAAAAATCATTTATAACCATTTTTTTTTTTTTCAGTTTGAAAGCTTTTGGTGGTTTGTGGGCTTGTTCCTCTCCTTTTCCAATTTCTCTTTCAGGGATCTTTGAAGATTTTTCTTAAGCTAACCAAAACAGTACGGCAAGTATTATCATCATCAGTTCATCACCCACCAACTTCTGATACTCATTTTCCTAACATTGAAAGATTTTGCAAACCTCAATTTTCAGTTGTTATAAATAAATAAAAATTTGGGTGGATTTTAGTTGTTACAAGTTGGAAAACATGAATGGGATCGCCGTTGTCAACGACCGTCAACTACCAGTTCCCAAGTTTGGTGAAAACCGTCAGTCATCATCCGGCCGTCAATTATCAACTGTTGCAATCCAACGGCAGACACGACAGCCCAGCCGCAATTGTTGAACCTCAACACCTGAAACTACAATCCCCTCCTCTCCGATTCTCCGGTAACAACCCAAATATCAAACATCCTACGCGCCACGTGCCAGATGCCCAGCTGTCCGTATTTACAAGTCCACCGGGACGACCCGCTATGACCGGTTGACAAAACCCACGTGCCAGTTACCCTCTGTTTTCTTCATCGATCAAACTCTTTCTACATCTTTATTCAACGAATCAACATCAATCCTACACATATCAACCCA